CCAATGCCGCCACGCCCTCTCTACACCACCGTCAAATTGAATCTTCGCACGCGCTGGCGAAAAAATGCAGCGCGCTTTTTTCAATCCCTGCATCAGAGGTTAGAAGTAGGAACGCTTCTTTGATATAACCGGAAGCAGCCGTCAACACGCTGAAGAAAACTTGAAGCTCTGTTGCGCCGTGGAAAACCACATGCGGGGCCCTGAAAATGTTGATTGAGAAAGTGGGTGTGATAGCAAGTGAAAATCTCTTCCAGTAAATGTTAACATGAATTTTACCAGTTTTCATCGCCTTCAAGACTGTCAATGACTGCAATCCGCGCGAATAATTTGCAGACAGATTCATTACTTCAGTTTAGGATGCGTTGCAACCTACCACAGCTGCCGGCTCTGGATATTTAGGATACAAAGACGGAGCAATTAATGAGAATTACGCTCTAGTCGAACTTCTGTGAAGTCAGGAACTTTTTGGAGGCCTTTAAATTCTGGAGTCAAAAAAGATGGAAAGCACTTAAAAATTTTCACAAAGTTTACTCGGCCAAAAATGTCCGAAGTTATTAGGACCTGAGAGGAAGAATCTTGGGAGTTCATTCCAGCGAGCGGAAGCGTTTGAAACGTACCAAAGACATTCTTCGCGGAGATCTCGTTGAGGAAATCTGGTTGGCATACACCGTTAGTTTCGCACTTTGCATTCTGTCAAAACTACCCGACTAGTGTTCTTGTCCCTCCCCAACCTAGAGTCTTTGAACCTGGCCGGGGGGCTCCCGACCAATAAATGCCCTCTCATCATTTCGGAAGATTTGTGTGACCTTGATTAAAGAATAGGAGCCAAGCCGTTTGAAAGATAAGGTCTTTCAATTAAAATTAAACATGGATTTCAGAAAGTCTGACTCTGCTACATGTGCTGACTCATTTTCTTTAATTGCACCCTACAGTCCAGAGGAAAGGGATTATCTCGGTTTTGAATTGAGGGTAAGACACATGTCTTACCGAAAGCTGAATTCCTCCGGCATCTTTATGCATAAATGCAATGGGAGGACAAGTTTTTGCCAAAATATCAAGTAAGTTTTTTTTATTCATATCGCTTCGTCTTAAATGTTTTACCAGATGCAACCCTTATACTCCAATGGACTTGAGCAAAGTTAGGGACATTTGGTTCAAACATCAACATTGATGTTTTTATTGTAGGGAATTTGCAAAATTTTATGGGAGCACTGGCCTTTGTTTTAACTGAAATGTGCTTCTGGAAGTCATCGCTAACTTGAGGAAGCTTATGGTGAACATTTGGTCTGAGAAAGAGCATTCAAAAATTTAGTAGAATGCTTAAAAGTATTGATTTCGACGCAGAAGATGGGGAACGTTCCAGACGGCTGAAAAGTATGAATATGAAGAACTGGAAACGCTAACCGATCACGACTCATGTCAGACGCCTGAAGAAACGGTGAAAGTATTAGGAGTCGATAGATCCACTGTTGGAAAACGTCTACATGCATTGGGAATGACACAGAAACCAAAAACTGAGTGCTGCATGAATTAGCTAGAAGACAAGAAAAGCCTAAGACTGCATGTGAATTCTTGCTTTTAAGGGATTCATTTTTGCATGCAATCACGACTGGTGACGAAAAATGGATTTTATTGCGGTAATCCTAAACGTTAACACCTTGGATGACGCCATCAACATCAACGACAAAGCAGAACGTTCAAGAAGCAAAGTTGCGTTATGTATTTGGTGGGCCCAAATGAGTGGTGTATTATGAGTTACACAAGCCACCTGAAACTGTTACTGTTGAGCAATATCAACAACAGTTAACCAGTCTGACTCGAACACTGAACGCACATAAGCTAGAGTATGATGGAGGAATTATAAGGTGATTATGTAACATGACAATGCAAGGTCATATTGTTGCACGACGAGTGAAGGAAACTTTTGAAGCCCTTCAGTGGGAAGTCCTGCCGCGTCCACCGTATGCACTGGCCAATGCTCCACCAAATTATCAACAGGGCCTTGCTAGGTGGAGCTTCAGTTCCTATCGAGAAGTGAAAAAGTGGATCGACAAATTACCTGTTCAAAAAGATTGACGGCTATTTTTACCGCAGAATCTATTTGTTCATAGCTACCGACGGACAGTAGTTTGAATAAAATATGAAGTGCGATTACTCATAGATAAATGCAGTTTCTTTTCATAAAAAAATGGCAGGAATTCATACCTAAACACAATATTACATTTCCCAGATCCACTGTTAGCAACTTTACTAACCAGGTAATGAGATTTTGGGAACGATGCGTTACTTCCACTGCTTAAAATTTCCTAGAAGAAAGTCGAGGAGGAAAAACTGCCTCTACTGTCAAAGAAGTTTCTCTAACAAATGTAAGTTTCTGTTCTCATAACCTGAAGACATAAAAGATGCTGTCGCCTTCACTGTGGAGTATAAAGACAAAAAACGTCTGATGACGTTATTTTCATTAGGGGTTATATCTATCTCTCAAGTACTGATGAAATCTTGATACGGTAACTGGGGCTTTCATTTTAAATCATGCTTCCTTATGTCAAGACGATTATCTTTAATTTTGTCATTTCGATTGAGTCATTCTATCCATGTGATTCTGGCAAACTTCAGGCAGTCGTTTCACTAATTCCTTTTAGCCTGCTTTCAGTGGTAACGCATTAAAGTAATGACCAACTATTTGACTATCTCATGACTAAGCAGGCGCTGTTGTACTTATCGGAGACAATACTCGGCTTTGCGACATTTCCTATAAGAAATATGCTTTTGCCTTAAGGGTATGCCTCCTGTGGCGGTCCTGACTTTTCAAGTTATCGGGCGTCTACTGAAACGCAGTCACTGTCGGCGTGTTCTTAAGCATAGTCTTAGATTCCTGTTTACTCAGGAAGTCGTAGTTGTCTGGCCAGATGGTGTCACGCCTAATTTTGAGCTCTTGAGAAGTCGCCAAATGTCCCATCGTTCTGGGCTTAACGATAAAGCAAAAGAAGCTACCTGCCTGGGTACGATGGAAGTCGCCAGATTGAAGGTCTTTTTTTAGGAAAGGTACCCTAATCAAGTGTTGGGAACTCATGTCATCTGCACATAGACCGTGATTCGTAGATACAAAATTCGCGGCCAAAACACAACAACCAAAAACAACTACCCTGGTCCCCATCTTCCCCGTCTCATACCACAGGGTGCTAGGGTAAATCCGTTCGCTCTGGCAGCCTGGAATATCCGTTCTCTATTAGACAATCAGAGCAGCAACCATCCACAAGGGGGGACATCGTTGCTCTCAGCGACAGCGGTCTCGTTCTCCTGAAAACCTACGCAGAACCCCGGCCTCCTTCTCACCAACACCTTCTTTCCTCTTCCAACGCGGAAGAATGCAGCATAGATGTATCCTTGAAAGCGATGCCGGCAGCTGCTGGACTACGTTTTCGTCCGGAGACGCGGCCGACAGGACATGTTGGAGGTAAAGACGATCTGTGACGCCGATGGCTAGATGGATCGCCGCCTCGTGATCTCCAAAATGAGGCTTCGACTGTAACCTTACAGGATACCACGAGGTAGGAAACCACCAGGTACGTTAAGTGCTTCTCTGTTGAATTTGTCTGATAACTGCTTACACGTCATAAATCAGTCTGCATAGCGCCCGAAAGAACTACAGGCTCGGGACTTAACGCCTCTGTGGAGAATCAATGGCTTCAACTGCGAAGCACCATCCATTTCACCACGCTGGACATCCACGGTCGCCCACACGCCGTCAACATCAGGACTGCTTTGGCGAAACTTTAGCTGTCTTGACATGACCTTGACAATCAAACATGGCGAGTGACGTTGACGTTGAGTGTGCATCCCTGAGCATAATTGGATTCAAAAATGGCATGGCGTTTCTCATCCGTCTTGGGGTAAAGGGTCAGGTTGTACTCACCCGTTCTTAGAATGGCCTTCATGGTAGTCTCATCCATGAGAGCTACGAGATATGAAATGAGGGCCAGGTCTTGTATGGCACGCGTATGGGGATGGCATAGCTTTGTCAGTTACCGCGCCCGCCTTCGTCGCCTTGACTTCGCTCTGGCACCGGAGCAAGGTGGATGACGGGGAGGAGGGGGAGAGTGCGATAGATGCTGCGCAAGTCTGCCTCACTTCAAACAAATTTACGCGCACGTCACCGCTGCCGGGGCAGCAGTGCACGGTCGTCACTTGGAAGATGGGACATTCATAAATCGATTCAAGTGAAAGCCACCTTTACTCATTTGGGTAGGGGTAGTGTGCGTCATATTTGGCAGACAAGGTAGCGATACGGTCCCACAGATTGGACCAGTACAAAGAAATCGCATGGACAGCACCACAGCCTTCGCGAGTACAAAGTAATTGGATCTGTGTCTACTTTGAATGAGTCTTCTTACAAGTTAGTAGGCGATGGACAGGATCGTTGCTTAGTGTATCACTGAGACACAATGTCCTTCAAATTTCTACTTCATACCTTGCGGAGACGCATCTCCTTCCAACTATGAATCCAGTTTACTAGGTCCTCGCACCACATGTCCAATCAACTAGTGGCACATCTCGTGCGTACGTATGTTAATTGTCTCAGGTGACCATCGTTACGGACTGCCCATGAGGCACGCGACAATTCGACCGTCGTAAACGACGAGGTCCGTAGTGTGCTCCGCAACATGTCGGGCGCAGGGCGGTGACTTGGGCGGGAACTAGTTTGCGGTTAGAACAGACTTGCGCAGCACCTGTCACACCCTCCTCTTCCTCACTCATCTGGGTCCGGTAACTGGGTCAGGCCCAGTGACTGACAAAGTCTAGCACCCGTCTACGCGTGACACACAGGATCTGGTTCCACCTGCATATACTGGGTTTTCTCAGAACAAAGGAGGACAGCTCGGACGCCATCCGACCAAGAGGTCACATTCTGAGGGCTCATGCGAGAAACGAGCTACCCTGTCGGTAGGCAGCCTTCCAAGCCACGACTTCTAGTGCGTCGTTATAGACACAAGCGCGTTTGATTTTATATGGTGCGGAATACGCTGATGTGCCGCCGGGGTTGGATTCCACAGTTTCGAAACCTCCTCCTCTTCTATTTCGCACGCGAAACTCTGATGCCCGAGTCGATCAGTTATCTGGTGGTGGGTTTGAACACAAGTGGCTGGCGCGAAGCCTGCGCCTAGGCGTGCCATTACACCCGTACATGAGTGACATTTATTACGGTATGCGCGCGTCCTGCGTAGGCTAATCAATACATGGGTACCCCAATCTGGCCCATGATTTGATTCAGTGCTTCTGTGGCGCAGCTCGGTGGGGGGGGGGTACTTGTCCATGTAGGCACGCTTCGCACGCCTCCGATCTGGGTCACGTAGGCTGACTCAATAAGCCTTTGCCGTTACATTTCGTTCTTCTGACATTTGGGTCAGATGTGGTTATGTAGGCCCACCTGAAGTAAAGAAACCCCAGCAACCTGTAATACGGGACCGGTGCTGATAGGGGTTTTCATAAGAGGGGCTGGGGAATGCACAGCCGACGAGGTCAGGTAGTTGTATGCAAAAGAAAGGCTAATGGGAATACATGGTTGTAATTTGAGTGGTTGAGAAATAGTTGTCCTAACCCCTAACTCTAACCCTAACCTATGGCTCTAGCCCCTAACTCCAATCCCTGACTCTAACTCTTAACCGTATCCCCCTAACAGTATTGTTTCTGTCAGGTGGGGCTACATAACCAAATCTTACCGACATTTGATTTAGTAAGCTCGTCGTCAACCATGACACATGATAACCACACCAGAACTTTCAGCGTCTAGTGGCCAGACCACAAACCAAAAGGACTTTAGACCTGCACTGTCCGGTTTATTAGAATGAATAATGACTCGTGTGAGCAAAGTAAAGGATACAGCCAGCTAGAGCAAGAAAAGCTTGAATTGCACATACTCAGAGATTTCAAAAAGCGCAGTCTCAATCAAACAGGAAAGCTTTTGATAGCAAATGAACCGCAAACTCAAAGTACCAAAAAGATGATTCACCCTGACGTAGGCTTCTCTGTCTGACCAGCGTTCTGGTCAACTGTCTCAGAAATGTCCGTTCCGGTGGGCACCACCTCGATGACCTTGGCTGGGTCGTCTCGAGACGGGGGTTGCAGAACCACCACGACGCCCTCACCGTTGGTATCCTCCACAAAAAAGAGTATTACCAGTTGGCAGACCGTGAGCGCCGCGTACACAGCCATCGGGAGACCATGCATAACCCTGGTGTCCAGCCGATTTATCAGTGGGAAGGAGAGTGCTCCGATTCGACTCAGTCCCGCTGCGATGCCGAATCCCCGGTTTCTGTAAAGCGGCTGAAACAGCTCCGGCACGTAGACAAAGATCATTCTCTGCGAGGCAGAGAGGCAGAAGATGGCGATGTTTGTGAGGATGTTGAGGAGATGGTCGCTCTTTGGCTGCAGCAGCAGTGTGTGTGAAGAGGCTGCGCAAAGAAAGAGTGCTGTGATGAAAAATACCGCGGCCAGGGGTTTCTTGCGATACCGAAAGTACCTGTAGAGTGCTGCCGAGAGCAGGGCACCCGGAATGTTGGCCAGGGCGTTGATGATGACGACCATGGAGACGTGCTGTCTAATGTGACTAGCGTAGAAAGTTATGCCAAACATGTTTGTAATCTGACAGGTCAGAAGAGCCGTGGTGAGGATAGTGGTTCCTCGAAGGCCTCTGCCAAAGAGGTGTAGGATTGAGAAGTCGGCCCTGACTGCATGTTCTTCTCCAAATGGAGTTAAGGGCGAGGCAGCGTCATGAGAAGGAGTACTGATGCCTAGTCTGTCCAGAAACTCTTCCCTCTTCAGAAGACACTCCCGCTTGGAACCCGAACAGCAGTTATTTCGGAATCTAAGGTTCCATCGGTAGGCAGAGTAAAGTACCGCACTGGCAGAATGATAGGAATCCTGCGCTGCTAGCCATTTCGGTGACTCAGGCAAACAAAAGGGGCTGAATAATACCAGGGCGTTGGGCAACAGGCTAACGGCATTCAACATCCGCCAGTTAGTGAAATAACGGGCTGATACTCCGAGCATCACACGCTGTATGCCCAGCTGAAGGACAGTACCAATCGCTGCCAGGGTTGAACGATACTTGGCGGTGGTAATTTCAGTCAGAAGCACAATGAAAGCCGAGGTTCGAGTTGTGAAGAAGGTTGCGACCAGGAAGCGCAATATGATATAAACAATGTGATTTGGACAGAAGCAAATAGCCACATTAAGGCTAATCTCGACCAAGCCAGAATACAGCATTGTTCTCCTTCGTCCGATCCGATCACTGAGCCAGCCTCCACAAATGTAGCCAATCAGCATGCCAGCCATATATGCACTCTCGTTGAGAGGCACTTGCCAGGCCTTATCACAAACCAGATCCCACTCCTGGACGATACCGCCCTGGTATTGGAACGACGTGTACTTGTAGACGTATCCGTTAGGACAAGGTGTTCCCGCTTTGCTGCTGTAGGAGGCGTTTTCGTAGAGTTGTAGCAGTGTGTGATGACTGTCATTTTCCGACCGTTCAAAAGAGTATAATTCACAGCCACCGATTATAGCTCTGGTATTCGTCAACGGTCCCACAAGCCTAGCAGCGTTTTCAAACTTCCACAGCTCTGTCTGCCTGTTCCCGACCAACTCGTTGACATTCTGAAACCACTTCTCGAGCTCTGGTTCTGCACGACAACGATGATGAGGAAAGGAATTAAAAAAGACAGGCAGCAGGAATATAGACGGAAATGAAAGCGCTGTAAAGATCACGATGCCAATTTGCCAGATTCCCAGAGGTTGGACAAGTTCGTCAAAAACGCGGTCAACTTGAAGAACAACCATGATGGATCTGCCACTCGGAACGTTTTTCACCGCAGTCTGAACATCTTAACGAGAAGAGGGCCCTTCCAAGCTCGCCGCCGACCAACCCAATGTTCTGGTACAATTTCAGGTCCGCGCAGAGCACGTGCGGTCGGGGGGCGCGAGAACCACGCGGTACAATTACCGACTGCGCGCCTCGCATACGATCGATGGCAAAACAGCTGGCATGCAGTTGATTGGGCGAGAGGTGAATGAAACGACTAAGGTCACGAGAACTGACCGGTCTTGACAAAAAGGGGACCTTATGCAGCTCTCAGAGGTTGCAAAATAAAATTAACAATACACCTGACCCCCGGGAATGCTGCCTCGTTAGAACTAGGGGTCTGGCGGATCGACAATGCTCACATCATGATGCGATCGTCCGAGAGGATTCTAGACTGGAGTCTCAAGACAAAATGGGAACCGGCATAGGCAGTCTTGCAATCAGCGCGATGCCAGCATGACTTTTTTTGTAAAATACTGTCTAAAGGTCTACAACCAGATGGAAATTTTGGCAACTTTATTAGCTGAAAAGCATTTCGAACGCAACCGTCGGACACTGCTCCCCAGTTGTTACTATAAGAAGGGAAAAAAATCAAAAATGCTGTAATCATATA